AGCACATAACGTTAGCCTGCAATAGGGCGGCAGACTAGACATCAAAAATATGTCAGTTTTGATACACTTTGCATTTCTACTTGCTCTTTATCCTCCGTTCCTTCCTCACTTGGTTGTCGTGGACGATAACTCGATTTGGAGGCTGACTCTACAACTGAATGCTCTCAACACTCGTGACATACTTCTACATAAAAGGTGGATGTTGAAAACTCGTTCGACAACACTATCGTGGACATTTACCGTGCAGCTCGCAATGCACGCTAACGTTAATTTACCGATATATGGCCACACAAGTGTGAGCAAACTGTACCGGTAGGAGTTTGAGCAAGATTACATCTTTTACGTGAAAGCAAGCGGCCTTGTGCGAAAGACAGAAACGCAGTATAGTGCCGTAATGATTCGTAGAATGGAGGCTCTATGTAAGCGCAGAAGAGATATGCGGTATCGACTTCGATACATGACTTCTACATATATACACTTAGGTGTACTGGCCGCGATATGCACCTTGACTTGGCATTCGTAAGCATGGCGAGGCTCTCTGGGGTCGACGCTCACATGAAATCAAGTGGCCAATCATATCCAAGGAATTTAATATTTTGACCAATCAGTATCTGTACGATGGCGGTCGTGAAAATTCCAATTACTACGTAGTACTAGTACAATACAGTAAATGCGCCAGCTATTTGTCTACATGTGTCGCAAGCGCACTTTTCGTATTTCGTGAATTTACAGTTAGACAGCTTGATTGCACTACTGTACTCCGGAGTAGAGTACCACATAGGAACTGGCGCAGCGTTGCATCGTGTATATATGGAATAAAGTATGCACGATGAAAGTAATCGAAAATATTATTTATAAAAATATGCAAGTGCAACTCATTGTTATCTGGAGATAGTATTTCATGATTGGATATATTTTAACCAATCCTTGAGGACCTCAAAAATGTTCCACGTGTCGAAGTGCAGTTTATGACGTCATCGAGAGAAGTGGACGTCCATGTTGCATTGACTCGACCTTGCTACGTGGCGGGCATCGGGAGTCCTCAGTTTCACTCACTTCATTGGCAAATCACATTCCGTTGATGCCCTGTTCTCATCCCTAGATACTAACATATACCCAGCCAGCATCATCCACCGCCATGAAGTGAAGTCTGGAGAACGGAGTTCGTCGCTGTGGTTGTAGGTGTTGGCGTTGTAATAGCTCGTGGCTCCAGGGGTTCCGTGTATTGCGCAATACTGTATACTTAAGTACTCCTAAATACAGTATAGTGTGTATACGATGCTGGCACTCACGCCCGGGTTCGACCTTTACGATACCGGAATCCCCACCTTTCGTCGTAAGCTGCGACTTCGCGAGCTCGCTTTCTACCGGTAGAGCATCCCACATAACGTAACAGTAGAATACAAACCAAATCTTTCAGTCAAGCACCATGATGACACCAATCGAAAGTCGCGTCAGCCAACCCTCGAGGTGCGGAGGCTTCTTACCCGACATGGCGCGAGCAAGGCGCAGCATCCCAATGCACTCACTTATACACTGACTTTTGAATAATGAAGAGTAATTTTGAATCAACCAATTAGATTGCATAATTCAACAACCCATTTGACCAATCATAAGGTAGCACTTTACTCAGATACTATTGGTTAAAATGAATTGACTTTTGTCATCCTAATATTTAAATTAATATTGGTAGTACCACGGTGCGCCAGTTCCTACGTGGTTCTCTCTCTGTACGTACCAATCAATGTACATGTACCAGACCGGCGGCCAATTTCGATACATTAGGTTTTACTATAAAACGTTTTTGCATTGTGGGTTAAACCTGACACGTTAAACCTCAACTTGTGCGTTTTATTTCCACTGTTCTTCGTAGTAGATACTATTAATAGTATGTCGGATACAAGTTTCTTTCTAAGATCAAGAAGATTCCCGGAAATTGGTCATATTCCGAGTTTGCTACTACAGTAGTAAAGATCTCTTTCTCATTTTCCCCGTACTGTAATTCAAAGAAGATTCAATCGTATTTACGAGTAAGGTAAAAGTCCAATTTGAGAACAGTTTTTCCGAATGCTGCCGTGGAAGACATGTAGCTCGGCTCTAGGTATCGGATTGTAATTCTACAATATGTTACGTGAAGCCAAAATCCGGACCTGATTGGGAGTTATGAATGCGATATGTTCCCTGTTACTACGTAGTACTAGTATATTTTATTGCCATTCACATCACTTGACCACAAACAACTTACTTCGAATTAAAACAAACGGTCCAATTTAAGGTGCACCATTAAATTGGACCGTTTGTTTTAAGTTGTTTGTCAGCTTACATTCAGAAACTGTATTATTGTAAACATTTTAATATAAATAACAGTTATTTGCATACTTTTTGGGCGGTTAGGTTTAAAACTGCCTTTCTATGAATTGATTGGTTAATTCGTGCGCACCTCAAAATGGATCGAGCACCTTAAATTGTACCAAGATCTCTCTAATATATATTGACGCTGCACATCTGTGCAAGCTGTCAGCGCGACGGCGCGCTGTGTAAGACCAATTTGGTAACTTAGTAGAACGTTACTGTCCAGCAACATTTTTAACAGCACTTTTAGTTATAGCGTTTAACAGCATTTTTAGTTAAAGAGTTCTTGGTTACTTGTACCAAGTAAAGTTACGGTCTGTTAACAAGAATATTGATCACAAGAGCAAGAGCAGTGGAAGTCAGTAAGGAAAAAAGAAGCGCCAGACCGGGTTCGAACCAGTGACCCTCAGAGCTGCAATCTGACGCTCTACCACTGAGCTACTCGCGCTTCGTTGTTGCAGGCTAATACAAGACATAACCTAAATGACCAATTTATGATCACTGTACCAATTTATGATTACTCCCTGTGAGCCAATCACATCGCCGTATTGTTTACTACGAAGTACTACGAAGTACTTCGAAGTATTAGTACTACTGTACGTATTATGCTTTGCACTTTTTTTGGCGTCGGTTTTACGTGGCTAAAAAGAGTGGTACTTCTGGTGTAACTGTGTTACAAGGTTGAATAAATATTAATACCTGGTGTTTTAGCTAATTCACTGGGGTTTTATAAATGCCAAATAACTCTGAGCAATAATAATCACATGTGATGCTCAAGTGACCAAATCACCTTGGCTATTAATTCCATCGCGTAGTACACGCTACCTGCATGTACTATGCGATGGAACAAGAAGAAGGCGTGGTTTTCTACGATGTGGCACCATACGTACATTGCTGTACGGTAGAACTTCGGCGCTTGTCCTCGCTGTGTGACATTTGTAATATCAAAAGTTGTTCATGGTGACCAGTGAATTGTGCAATTTGGTCCCGAGAATAGCAGATATAACTTCGATTTGCACTTTTCAAATGTGCAAAAGCAAGGGAGTTGCATAAATCACCTCCATATAATTACATTCTGTAACGAAACGTGATCCTAAATCACGGTGCGGATTATCTAAAACACTGGGGTCGATGGAACAAACACCCAGGTTTATGGTGTGAATAGCCAAAACGAGTGAAAAGCACAATAGTACGTAGTATTATTAATATTGTGCTTTTCACATATTCTGGCTAATCTGAGCCTAAACCCCCACTATTAGTGAGTCGCATTTAGGATCCATGGAACTTCATTTTATTAAACTGAAGTAACCCTTATTGTTGCAAGTTTTATGACGCGACGTTTTGATTGGATGGTTTATCAAAATATGGCTGGCTTGCAGGCCACAATTAGCTAATATGAAGCGTTTGCCCATTTCATTTTGGCAAACACGGGTGTTTACGAGTATGATAAGCCTAGACTTGAGATGGCGATGCGTCATTCTAGTGCAGGTCTACTCTATTGACGTTGATGTTGTGTGCGCATTGTTGGGTCTCTCACGCAGGTCTGTTGCGCGTTTTGTCGCACAGTTCTCCGCCACGGGCACTGTCGATTCAACGCGCAGGGCAACGAAGGAGACCCAGTGGCCAAACACTGTCAATGTGTGGATACTACAGTACACAATAGACCACCCATGCTTCTACATTGAGGAGCTTCAAGAAGCGCTCCGGGCTGGGTTCCCGTCCCTGTTAAACATTTCCCAAGCTACGACCCACTTTCATGACAGCTTGCAACACCACGTTCAGTGTTTGAAACGTTCAGTGATTGTTCAGTAATTTTGCCCGAACAGAGCCTTAGTTGGATTCGTTTTAACGACATGTTGAAAGATCGCAGGCCAAACAAAGTTTCAATCGCTCCCACAATTATATTCAATATTCCACACTTCCACTAAGCTTACGAACGGCACCACAATCCGCCCTCGGCCCCTTCACGGCGGCCTTGAACATATCCGTCGGTATACACCACTTGACTTTGGAAATGTAGCACCCCACACAGGGGTGCTTTTCGATCTGAAGGGTTTGCATTTGTGCTTGGGGGTGCTGGACGGCGTCGAAGTCTAGGTGGAGGCGACGTTCGTGATCGGTTGAGGCGTGGGTTTGAGTGTCGTCGTGGGTGTTTCGGGTGTTTTCGTCTTGGGGGGGGCGACGACGATGGAGATGACGAGCTCGGGCTGGGGTAGACTATTGCCACCAGCGAGGACATCGTTGGACGCCAAGTTCAGTTCCTGGAGCTGCCGAATGACCTTGTCCATCTTGACCGCGCCGTTAACAGTGCTGGAGCCGCTGTCTATGCAATGCACCCCCAGCAGTTGTGCAGCGCCACGATGGTTTTATCGATCGCACTGAGAACTGCTTTCCGTGTCCAAACGGTAGCCGATGCAGCCAGAGTTCCAGCTCAGGTGGAGATCACGCCCGTGGCCCCGCCATCCGTGACGCTAGCAATGCGCGAGGGCTCCCCAGACGGGTGATGTAGATTTGTTCGTTAAGCACTGGCTTCTCGAGTGGAGGTACCAATAAGTGGCCAACGACGCCCCAGGGTTCAGCTTGAGCTTGAGAAGCGTTAAGTCCTGCGTGGGGTTGGTATAAATGAGCTCAGCGCTGGTCGCGATGACCATGTCGTCGCACGAGCCTTCTTGTTGGCCTCCACAGCTTTTGCACTTAGCCGCAAATAACTCCACTTGGATGGCGCTTCGCTTAATGCTGCGGACGCAGTGGTTGTAGGTGATCATGTGGCCTTCCAAACCAAACAGCGAACCCGTGCGCTCACTGCTGCTCGTGATGACGAGGCTATTTGATACCTTTTGGCTTTACAACACACGGCCCATTGCGAGTCCTTAACACCGCAAATGCTCTGGGGGTCTGCGCCAGGCAGACTGCTGGCGACTTGATCGATGAGGATTGCGATTTGGCCTTCGAGATCGGGGGGGTTGGGAGGAGTGGAATACGTGACCAAGGCACGGGAGCCAGTGACGTAGCTGGCGTCAAAAATTGTCGTGGGCATGCAGTTGACGGTTTGCGATCCGTCCAGCACGCTAATGGTGAGGTACCCCTCTTTGGGGATATCCACAAATGCGAAAGGGGCGGTATGTAAAGCCCATGGTCTTGGGAGATGACTTGCACGAAGCGGTGGTGGAATGTGTTGAAATCTACACGAGTTGGTCCAATCAGCGTGAGCTATGTCCCCAGCCATGGCAAAGGCGAGAAGGAACTTGGGGGAGAAAATGCTTGGAATACGTGGCTGATTTGGATATGGCACCACTTTGCGGATGTCTAGTGGTGTCTCGCGACTGCCTTTGCCAGATCCGAATGTCTAGCTACGGACGGCAGCTAAGCTAAACTCAAATTGTACGCTTCTACTATCATTTTCTCATACCTGTCCTCTACTCGTCAACATGTCCGAGTACACCAACACTATTACGGCATGTGATTGTATTTAGTACAACGTGTGTACATCAGTGTGATGGAAAATGTGCAACGATAGTGGTGTGAAAAGTAAACCCCGAAAAAGGCAAGAGAGAGGCAATGACATGTGAAATCTCGGTGAATGTATCAGGTATCCTATGGTTTCGCCCGTCCCCAGAACATAAAGCACCCCGAAAACCCCAGACTTTGACCCCACGATCTTCTTAACACAACTACTTTGCCTCCATACGCACTCCTAAATCGTCGTAGAAGCCCCATAAGCGTAAAAATACGTTGCGCGAACGTGAAGATTCGCGAATTCGACTGTAATGTGACGACTGGTGCAGCAAAATTGGCATACGGAAGAATAAAAAATGTCATGGAATCCCCACCCCACCCCTCTTTTTGCTCTGCCGATGTAGCTCCGTGAAACTAACCTACAGGTCACATGCATAGTATATACTTCGAAGCAAAACCTAAGATGTATTCATACGGGGGACTTCATTCGGGGAACTTCGTAGGATTGGCCCCGACTAAGGGACCCTTGTCCCCTTCGCCTACGATTACTGGGAAAGAGGGAATGCAACGCCACCTTGTCTTCGAGTTCAGACGGAATGAAGTTGTCTAATTGGTCACATAACTACGAAGTTCGACAACTATTCTAGCCAATCGCAGCCTATTTCGAATGATTTTAATCACTTCGGGAGGTGATAAAATTCCACATCGTACGTACAGTGAAATTTGTTCAGTACCGGCAATTTCGCAATGAAATCAAGAGGTCATTAAAAGTAGAAGGAAGACAATCCAAGAACTTCGATTACTACCGTAGGCAAACAATAAGCGTAAGCGTTCGGCGCGGTATTTTATTCTTCTTCCTTATTAAAGTAGTTGTACATACAAGTGTAGTAGTATTTTTTTAGTAATAACTGGTGTACAGTTAATTGCAATCTTACAAAAGTTAGATATCGGTATGCGTCCAACCACGCTTTGCAGTTGACTTCACTGTCACGACATTCAAGAGCCTATGTGTGGTAATTACCGGTGTGTACTTCCAAATTTGATGAAGCGTGGCTACCGGTGCATGTGTTCACTACTCATCTACTACTAATAGTACTAGTACTAATTAAGGTACGAGATAGTACTACAGTACTTTGAACTATTAATATTATATAATAGTACTTCTTATAGATAATAGTAGTACCATATAGTATCTGCTCTAATACAGGGTGTACTGTACCTACTACTAAATAGTAATTACTATTACTAGTACTTAGTAGTAGGCGCAGTAGAGCATGGATTAT